GTCCTTAACAAAACTGGTCACTAGGGCTCTGATCCAACAAAGACATAGCACATTCCTAGCATTACACATTGTGACCATTTCCATTGATTTCAGATACAATAAATCAGAATTAAAAGAAGATATGTAAGTATTTGCTAGAGTACTAAGCAGTCAACACTATCATGGAGCTTCTCCTGGGACAGCAGAGCTACAAGCCCCTTCCATAGAGCCTAAAACTGAACTCAGATTTTTGATGCCAAATCTATTTCACAAAACATGGTAGCTTACTGCCTTAGATCTCTGGGTCAGTTATTTATGACAGCAAATCTCCATAATGTCAGCCATGCTTAACATTATTTCTTACAGCATCTAAGACTCAGTATTTTGGTGTATGGTCTTCGGTATGCTGCTTAGCTATTGTAAAATCCCACTCATTTTTTTAAAACTCACTATTGCTTTATGATATATTTTGAAGTGTGTCTTCCTATCTCTTTTAGATACTGCAGTGGTATCTACTTGCTATTTGTCTAGATGGTTCGCTGTTGCAGGCTTAATTCCAGGAAGAATTTTTAAAAACTTGACAAGCGCAGGCTTTGAAGAACTGCTCACATAAAATGGCATTGCCTCAACAGCTCACAAAAGCATCCTGTTCCACCCAAAAGGAACAGGCAAGATAGTGCTGGCAGAAAATGATCTCTTAGTAGTTACATTTTCTTCCCTCACAGCACTGAGTATTTTTTCAGCCACCCTAAGAGGCCCATTGTAATAAATTGATTGAGTTTGAAAGCTTGTCCAGTTTCACTATAAATTCTGTAAGTGATTCTGTTCCGTCTTAAAATGTTGTTTATTACTTCTAGCTCTACTGTGTGTTCCTCTGAATTTCAGGAAAAGCCGTAGTCTGTGTTCCTGAAGCAAGAAGTGGAGATGCTTGGTAGCATTCCAAAGGAAATTGCAGGTGTTTCTGCAGACTTTCAATTTACTATTCAGGAAAATTAAATATTTTGTTTTGGAGCAGATTAAAAAAAAACAAAAAAAAACAACAACAAAAAAAAAACCACAACACAAAAGCCAAAACCAACCAATGAAACAAACAAACAAACCCCACTAGATTATTTTCCTGTGATGACTTGAAGCATCAACTGAAACCATTGCTTAGTGAAAACATTGAAAGGACAAAAGAATTCTTTTAGATTGAATCAAAAAATGGGAAAAGGACGAAAAAGTCAGGTGACTCTCAGAGTTAGGTTAGACCTAGAATGAAACATTTACTTTCCTTTTCAGGGCTTGTAACAATTTTCAATAAGATTTTTAATTTGTATCAATTTTGAGGTGAAAATTATTTTAGAGTAAGTTGGGTTTTAAAATGTACCAAAAAAATTCCAGTGTTTCTTAACTGGAATAATTTAGCCCACATATGTTAATTCAGATTTTTTGGCCAGTTTTATCCAACCTATTCACCAAATTACTTTTTTTGGTTTTTTACAGGGAGTTTTTTTGTTTTGCTTTTGGAGCTGGGTTTTTTGTTTTGCTTTTGGAGCTGGGTTTTTTGTATATGTCCTCAAATTACATTTTTGAGAAACTGCTTTGTTTGTTTGTTTACTTTCTTGTTTGTTTGCCTGTTTGAGCAATTCGTAATCTGTCAGATTTTGGTAGTTCAAGCAAAATCTCATCAAGCTGGAGGAGAAAAATGCCATTCAAGTAAAAACTATACTAGAATGTGTTCCACAGATTTAGTAATAATGCAATCTTTTTCTAAGAGGTTTTTGAGATATTTGCATCTCTGGATATGTCTCAACTATTTCCTCAGGACAACAAAAATAGGGTGTTTTGTGGCTGATCATAATTTGTTTAATGCTCATGAGATGTTTGGGTTGCAGCTTTTCTCTTTTTGTTTATTGCTGCCAAGCTTTTCCTTTGTTTTTCTCAGGTAGGTCAGGGCAGAAAGATGCTGCATTTCTCAAAAGATCAGAAGTCCCACTGCCCGGGGCCAGATGTTAATAAAATATTCCTTTGATTTCTTTTTTTTCCTCCAGTCTCTTCCTCCCCTACCACAGCAGATGAGAGTAAGTCCCTTTTCCCCTTACATTCAGCTATATGTCATCTTGAATTTAGTCTGAGATTTCAGTCAATTTGACTCTGAGGGAAGGGGCTCCTGAGGCAAATATTTCCCTTTCCTTATTTCAAACACTTGCCTGCAAATTAATTGTGCAGATTGGAGTTAGTTCATTTCTCATGTTTGCATTGGCAACACAACAATATGGAAGTAAACCTGAAGTTCACTGCTCTGAAAAAAACGTAATTTTTTCTTCTGCATGAACTATTTAAAAGTTCCCAAAACACATGCTTTTGCACTAAATAACACTAACTAGGTGATAGTATTAAATTCTCCTCTTAGTAGAAATCTCTTCTTCTCATTAATACTAATAATAAATATTTAAACTTGCTATAAATATTCTCCAATAGTTATTTTTATGGCACCAGTAAGTTAGAACCCTAAACAGAGACTGTACAAAGGTGTTAAACCCAAGCTTGTAGGTGAATTAAAATAGAAATCACGTTGAAATTAATTTTGATGGTGGAACATTAAATGCTTGTGAATATTTTCAATAGCCATGATGGCATCATAATTTAGTACATCCTTTCTCACATATATTCCAGTTTTTCCACCCCATCTGCCTCTTATTCTCAGCTGCTACCATGATAGCCCCTCAGGACAGCATAATCTTGTTAGCTGCAATGCCATAATCTGCTGCTAATGTAAGAGTGGAAGGCAAAAAAAAAAGAATCTGTGTATACTATGCATATTAAAACATTTCCTCTTCTCCTCCTCAGACTGGAAGCTTAGAGAAATTAAGAAAAATTGTTTTATTGTCTATAAAGTATAAAAACTATTCTATTACAGTTAAGTGAATCTTACCATTATTCTTCGTTTTTCTTAATAAAGAACCTTCTCCATTGCATTTCACTACAGTTCTTGCCAGCTGGAAAATCCTCTGCCCAAGAGATTTCCAACCCAGTTTATTGCTGCAGCACAAGGAACCTGCTTCACGTTGATCTAGAATTTCAGACAATGCATAATGGCTCTCTTAGAAGCTAATGCATGCACACTACATGCTCCAAAGAGGCTTCTGTTATGCTGGAGAGAAGACAAACACACTGGCATAAATAAATTGTAGCATGTCGTGACAATACTTCCCTTTCCAATCCAACAGCTAGAAGCAGAAAGGTTGAGTGAAGATGAAAGGGGATCCCTCCAGTACAGGTTCCAGCATTCTTGGGAACCAGATGGACTGAAATGGAAAACGCAACTAAAACAGGCCACAAAATTCACTGCCAGAAGAGGTTTTCTTTTTATCCATGACAGTGCCAGGTTTTACTAGAAAGAAGTTTGCCATGTCATAGAAACTAAAGATAGGAATGAACTGGAATCACCTTTGTTCTCTCCCAACCAGTGCAGGATTGTTCCATGTATATTTTCTAATTTTTGTGTAGTCTGATTTGTAAAGACTTGTGAAGTAAAGCATTTATCTGCCATTTTTAGGTTATTTCACCCCAGCGGTTTTAGAATTTTTCTTAAGCTTTCAGACTACATTTCCTTTCTTTTTCTCATTACTTTTAGTTTTATCATCTTGGACTCCCTCAGGCAGCTTTTCCCAGTGCCTGCTTTTTGTCATTTCATATTCTTCTGTGTATCTGCTATGTTTCTCTGCAGTTGCCATGATATTTTTTTGTAAGACCTCTTGTTAAATGTCATTTGCAGATGTCATTACTGTTGTGTTTACTTCCCTCTTCCACTAATGAAGATGTGAAATAACACAGAACCCATCATTGCCCTTACTACGTGGTTTCTGTCAGCCTGATAGGCTGCTGTTAATCGGTACTCTTCCTTTGTGGTCCTTCAGTTTGCATTCATTCCCCATGACAGTGCTCTTATCTAAGTCTTTCTGAATTAATTTTTCAAGCAGATTTTTCTGAGACACTGTAGGAAAGGTTTTGCTGATATTTCAATCCAGCTTCATTGCTTCTGCTGTTTTCCCTTGTACACTAGGGATTTTGGCCAGACAAAAAGCAAATGAGGAATAACAATGCATGGTGAGGTACCTCTTTTCCCACTTACAGTGTAACTTTCTGATCTGAGGGTCCTTTGCAGTATATATATATATATATATGTATATATATATGCAGTAAGTATTAAGGGCTAGATTTTATTTACACATTGAGTAAAATGTTTTATAGTGATGACAAAATTCTCTTTGTCTCAGCATAATCTTGACTTCAGGTCTGATAGAAATTCATTTAAACAGTGGGATTACAGAATAAGCAGGTCTCGATTCTGTGTGAAGATGGCAGAAATTGAGTCATACTAGATAAAATCAGGATTGTCTCTACTCTTTCCCTAGTAGACAGTGACTGGACAGATTATCCCCTTGGAGCCTGTAGCTTTTCAGAATAAGGAGTGGGAAAGGTCATTTCTGAGTGTTAAGAGGTTCTTTCTTTTTTTTTTTTTTTTTTTTTTTTTTGTAGGATATTGTCTAATTCTCTTCTGAATTATAATGAACTTTGGATGGAGCTAACCTCCATCATGTGAATCACCTGTGTTGGTACATTTTGTAAGGAATAATTCTAATGCTAATCATGTCATAATGAAGTCAAACTTTATCAGTTAAGGAGACTACTAAAAATACAAGATCCTTCTCTTGATTCTCTTCTTTCTAGTTTCACTCCTCTTTGGCTACTTTAGCCTTATTGCAAACCTATATAACCTAGCAGTTGTCTGTATGTCATCTCTGCATTTCTTCTCTGCAGCCTCAGGGGCTCAGGGAAATTTTTGCTTGGTGGCATCTTGAAACCTGAAGCTTTTTTTAGTCAACCTCCTGTGTTAGCACAGGGTAAGGACTGTAGTTTCCACTGATAGATCTCATCTCAGTTGTTTTAACTGCGGGATCAGCACACAGGCAGGATGGGCATTGACTGGCATGTGACGTGGGTTCTCTTGTTCTCTGCCCTGTGTTTTCCTTCAGGGGTTATCTTGCTGCTTCTTGATAAGTTACGGAAGATGAAATGGGAGCAGATGTGGAGACTCACAGCAGAGCGGGAGTTAATGAGCATGTTATCCACCTCACTGGCTGACCAGGTGAGTAGGACATTGCAGGAGTGTGATATAACCGCTAGTCCATGGATTGAGGAAAGAAAGAAAGGGAGAGGGGATGAGATGTGGGAAAAGGCAGGGGAAAGATGTTGTGCCTGTGTCACCATTTGTTGAATCATTCTGGGGAAAATGTGAAAGAGAGGAATGGAGATTCACTGGCAAGGTTTCTCTTACCCGATTTTACCATCTCTGCTCAGGTAATTCATAAGACAGACAAAGTGGGGGTTTCATGCTTTAATTTTCTGTTCTTCTTTCTTTAACATAGAACTCTCCAGACACTAGAAGTCCAAATATACTGTCTTTTCCCACTGGTTTTTGTCTAATCAGACTTTAGTTTTAAGTGTCTCCAGACATTTCATTACTGTTTCTGGCATATGAGTCCCAGATGTCTTTGAATGTACTTCTTGCCACAACACCCCTGTAAAGACAAAAGCGCTGATGTCTCCCTGCCACAGATTGGAAACTGAGTCCAAGAGAAGAAATAGTGCATCTATACACAGAAGTTACTCAATGTAGTTACTCAATTTGTGCTTCCTGACAGCTCTCTTTTTAAACCCAGAAACCCTGTTAATGTAATACTAGACCTGAACCATAATTCTCAGTCAACAACTTGAGCAAGTGTTAGCACAATACAGTATCTTATTTAATGTTTCTTCTGATTTTGAACTGCATCTGGTTTATGACCAGTCACCACAAAGGAAGCATGCGGCTTACTGTGCCTGTAAAGATGTGCACTTTGTACAGCATCTTTGCAGGTTGATCCAAAAGCTACTAAAGTTCATTAAAATGATTCTTGCAACTTCGCTGTGTTTTCAATCAGGTCCTGAGTTGCTACCTAATACTTGCAGAGGGCAGAATTTTGCAGAGTGGAGAAAGGTTGTCTAACCATAATAAGACTGTTCTTGCAACTTACTTCTCCAACTGAATGGCTGCTTAGAGACAGAACACTTTCAGTCCCTCATAGAATCATAGAATCAACTGGGTTGGAAAAGACCTCTGAGATCATCAAGTCCAACGCTTGATACACTACCACTGCGGTTACTAGACCATGACATTATGTACCACATCCAGTCTTATCTTAAAAACCTCATGCTGTAGGCTGTTCTGCAGATCTGTTGTACATACCTTTTCCATGAAGTATCTAGAGTACTTGGTTGCAACAATAAAGTGCTAGCTAGAATCCCACCTAGTAATTCACCTTGAAACAACATATCTGCCAGAATCACATTCATCCCCTATATTGAAAACTGATGCGGTACTTACTAACAGCAGGTATTTTGACATTTAGTGCCCATTACTCTCTCTGGTGACTAGAGGAGGAACCACACTTCATGCCAGCAGTACAAGATAAACGTTTGAACACTTTGCTGGAGTCCCTTAGCTCTGTATGTCAATAGAGCCTGTTCCTCTTGTCCAGAGGAACGTATTGTCCCTTAGATTAATAGCACCCTCTGTGGAAACAAAATTACAAATCAGGGTTTGCAAACTTCACCTGGCATCACCATCTGAATTTCTACCTGTGAGGGGGAGAAGGACTGTCAGCTTGGGGAGGTGTTGAGATCACCTCACTGTAGAAACAACATACCCAACTGTTCCTCTGGGTTTTTTTCTGCTAGGATATCTTCAATGCAGTCATCAAACAAAATCCCTTCCTTGTCTACCAGCTCCCATGTTTCTGGAATGTGCAGCTTTCTGATCACACCCGTTCCGAGCAGTGCTACAGAGATGTATCTGACCTGAAGGTAGGTTTCACAGGAAGTTGGCTGGGTGGTATCATTTGGGACAGAGAATGCAAGACTCCACAGTCTGAGAAGGATGGAGTGCCTTAAGTAGGGGGGAAATGAACACATACAGTTCATAGGGACAGCCAAGCAGGGGAAGGAAATGTGACTTTGACTTTGTGCATTTTGACTAATAGAAAAGTCGAAGATGGATGCTGTTTTGGGGTTTTGCAAGGTATTAAAGAAGTACTTCACCTTTTTAAATTCTGTATCTGTCACACCACTGCACCTTACTGCTGAGTTCGTATCGCTCTCCCAGTTCTTAGCTCTTCCTAGATAAAGAATACAAACATCATTTAATAGAGTGAAAGTCACAGAGAGGGTTGGGTGGATCCTAGTTAGAAATACGTTAGCAGAAATGTAAAGACCTTGCACGCTTCATATTTAGCCTTTGTATACACTTAACCCAGTCACATTGACACTCATTTTCCAGGATTTGCCCTGAAAAAAAAGGCTGAGTAGAAACCTATTAATTTAATAAAATGAAGCTATAGTGTCAGTTTAATAGCACGTTTTTCTCTATTAACAAGTAGAATATAAAAGCAGGATGGATTTCAACAGATATGGGTAAATGAACATCAGTTGTGCTGTGGTCATTTTGAAAGACTGGACTCAAATGCAGAGAGTTCAGAATTGAAGCTTACTTGAGCTTTTTCCATGTGTAGAAATCTATTGCTATGCAGCAATAGATTCCATCAGAGTAGACACTAGTGGCATCAGAATGTTAGTAAACAATAGGTAGTTTTTGGTGATTCATTTTAAAATTCAGTTAAAGTTTGCATACTTAATTTATGTTTTGAGAATGCTGTAGTAAATGAGGTTTAAAAAAAAAAAAGAGAGAGAAAGAAAACTACAAAACCATGGAAGAGGTTGAAAGGTATGTCTGGAGACCACCCAAACCCCACTGAGAGCAGGACCAACTTAATTGAGGTTGCTCAGTGTCTCAGAGAGTGTCAACTCTCCAAACACTGAGATTCCACAAGCTCCCTGGCCCCATGTTCCAGAGTTTGACCACCCTCATGGTACGATATATTTCCTAAATCCAACCAAGTTTTCCTTTGGAGCAGTTTGTAGAGTAGCAGCAGGAATGTTCAATATGAACAGCAGATACTGGATGAATATAGAAAATCAATCACTCTCAACACACTGATTTCAAAAGCTGCGCTTCCAAGAGACAGAAGTTCTACTACATGGGTTAACTGACCATCAGAACTGGCCAGCATTGCTTGAATTTTATACATAAAGTATTCATAACTGATTATTCAGGTGTGATCCATAGACGACAGCTTTTAAAGTTAAATCAGTAGACTTGTCAGTATACTAATCACTAAATGGTTTATGATCTGTGTTTAGGACAGGACCAGCAAGGCACTTAAAAGCATCATGGTTTTATGCCTTATAACAAAATGCTTAGTAGATTTTAGTTCTTTGTTCATGCTGAGAATCACGTATGACAGCAGTTGCAGGGCCTGAAACAAACAGAAAGAAGTAGTAGCAGGAAAAATATTTCCTAAAAAATGAGCTTCAGAAAAATATACCTTCTACCTGTGAGATATCACAGTATTTTTCTGTGAATTAAAGGCTGAGATTAATTTGTATAATCATTGAGACAGTCAGATTGTGCTCGGTGCAAGGTTAAGACACATACATTTACATGAGGAAAAGATATTGAGGCTAATAACTGAGGATCTAGGGATTGGTTCTTTTGCCTAAACACAGTCTGAGTTACTGTAGGTGCTCTCCAATATCCATGTAGGACTGGCAGATAAAACAGATCTACAGGAGAGGATACCCTTTTGGCAAGATAGCTGATGGGCAGGCAGGATAACCATAAGGTGCTTTCAATGTTGCTGTACATCTGTATTTAGACAGCCAAACTGGGATCCTCATGAGTGGGTTTGGAGACTGGTGAAGCTCACCTCAAAATAGTCATCAGATGACTAATCAGGCAAATCATTGTTCATACTCCAATGACTGTATTAACTAATCTGCTTCAGGTGTGGGACATCTAGCTCATATGTAAGAGTAAGCATCTGATAGAAGTATCTTCAAAATAAATTATATCCGTTCTTCATTGCTGATTAACAAATTTATGTTTACAACTATAATTTAGGCTTTGGTGTTTATTACTGTATATTGTGTCACATTCTCAGTTCCATTAGAACATAAGCAGTGAAGTCTAAGATGTGTAATATTCTCCACTGATTTTCTGGTCTGAGGTATTTGACTCAACGAGGGGTGCAGACACATAAGCAATTCCTTCAACTGAACTGGACTTATTCACATTGCTAAAATTATCCCCTAAATACTTAATCGGGGCTGAAATTCTTTGCTTCGAAAGAGAGGCCAGAGCCTTATCTAGTGCACATAAGCCCCATGGTTTCAATAAAGCTTTTCCCATATTGAGCAGTTAAAGAACTTGCCCTCAGGCAGCACTGTTTAAAATTCTTCATACAATTTAAAAAATAAAAAAGCACAAACCAATTAAAGTTGTGAATTTGCATTATGAAAATTATCAAAATTCTAGTTCTGTAAAGAAACTGGCTGATTTGGTATATGAGCCTCCCAAAAAAACTTCAACAAATGTCATTAGCCCAAGTTAGAAAATATGCTCTTAAAATCACCGAAGTTAGTCAGTTCCATGACATTTAATATAAATGGTATGACACAACATATTTGGCACATTCCATCTTTCATGGTAAGACTGGAATAGGAAACGAGGTAAAAGAAACCTCTAGGGTAAGAGGGAGAGAAAGACAGATTGTGAAGTTTGTACTCAAGGATCAAGAAGGATAGCATAGGAAAGAAGGAAATGCATGGAGAGATTTAAATTCCAAGGTAAAGCTGGCCCAGTCAAGTATTCCTCAGCCAAATCAGAGTCCATTCCTACTATCAGACACTGAAAGGGCATTGATTTAATTACCTCTGGCCTCACAGTCCATGGGAGTTGAGGATTTGTCATCTCTTACACAAAACATTGTGTCAAGTGAACTTGGACGCCCAGGACTGACTTATGCTCATAGATGGGGGTGTAGGGGGGATGTATAAACAGTTCTTTGCTGCTTTGTTCACATTCATGCAAATGTAAGATGACCAGCACACCTTTTACAGGCTTAGGGAGCAGTTGAATATTTCATATTGCCTGAAGAGGATTCTAATCACTTTTTTTCTCTGTTTAGTCCTCATTAAGTTTCATCTCTATCATTTTTATTGATTTTTTTTTTTTGGTACTGTCTTATGTTAGAGAAGGTCAAATGTTTGACTGCTGCTGAACTCTACTTCCTTGCTGCAGCTGAGCAGCATCTACCGATTTGAAATTACTTGTATATGGGATTCTTTCAGAAGAGGTATAAGAATAGAAATATTGATAACCAAGTTCTGCATTGTTAGTGACCACTAATTTTATATCTACCTTAATAACATCAGTAGAGAAGCATGTGTGCTGCAGACTATGCCTTGCTGGGCTTCAGAGCCTGTGGGGAATCTGCCTGGAACTGACCTTCATTTATGTTATGCTTTTGCTGGGTTAGTGTTTGCTTCCTTTTTGGTTATAGTTTGTTCCTGTCTGTGAGGAAATCTCAGTTACTATGATTTGGCACAAACCGAATGGCAGAAAAAAATCCTATGAAAGAAGGTAATGAATTGTGATGCCTCTGACAATGAATCATGACCTCATTGAATGGGTCAGTCATGAAATCTGGTTGTCAAGAATACAGATGCTATTTATACACAGTGAATCTGTTAATTCACAATCACGAAAATTAGATACTGAACTCTTAAATGGGAATGTATCAAATTACTAGAATTTTCCCCCCACACGCACACTCCAACATAGAAAAATGCTTTAAAACCTATTGATAGCTTTGAACTAATTTTGGATACAGCTTATACTAAATCAGCAGATAGATAAATAATGACCCTCATAAATTCCCCATTGGGAAATTGCATTCTGTGATTCACCATGTCCTCCCTGGGAATGTCTTCCACACCAGGATGACTTTGTGATATTGCTTACAAAAGTTTAAACTGCTTCTTGTCCATAACTGTAATACATCATTTCAGATCTGCCTCAAACATGACCTGTTGCACCACTTTCTGTTCCAGTCCCTGAGCCACCCCATGCTGTTCAAGCACCTCAGCACTGATCTGCAGCAGTTCTGGCATTCTGCAGCCTTGCACCTTTTAATGCCAACAAAGACCTACTCTGAGAGGAGTAAAGGCTCAAGAGGGTTAAACATGCCCCTCCTTTAAATGAGCATTGGAGTCAATAAGGTGCTTCCACCCTACCAAACCAGGAGCATCGTGGTTTTATTAGTGGTGTTTTTGCAGGCAAGAGGCCTCCTTAAACATTAGTACAGGAGTTGAAGGAAGAGAAGTTAAAGAATCCTTTTGAGAGCAAAGTAAGAACTTTGAAAAGTGCAAAGCAGGGACAGTCTGTCAGCTTACAGCAGTGGCAGTAAGTTGGGGAGTAAAGTAATCCCTGGGACCATGGGCACCAAATCAGGCAGGGCAGGGATTTGAATCCCACATCCAAAAAGCAATGTCTGGACTTCTGGGTTGCTGGCTACTCCAACCTGAGTCTCTTCCACTCACGTAGTTCAGAAATGTCACTCTGAAACCTCCCTGATAACTTTTTTATGAATAATACAAACCTTTCTGAGGAAATTGGTTCTTTTATTAAACCATTCATTTCTGATAAAACACAGTTTAAAAATAAAGTTTCCAGACAAGTCTAATTGAGGCATAAGTTACACATGTGGTGCATGCTTGCAGGGTGATTTGGGGCATATTTAAACTTTTCAATAATATGTGCCTGTAAAAAAGTCTATTGAGATGGCATTAAACTGATATATATAGGTGGCTTTACTGTGCATACTTGCTGAATATTTAACTCCTGTTGATTTTGGTGGAAAGTGTCTGGTTGCCTAAGCAAGGAATCTTAAGTTTTTAAGCAGGAAATCTCCTGTTTACAAAATACCACTTATTTACCTAAATTGTGAAGTGCTCATGGGCTTAATTAAGCATATCTATTCAGTGCTTTGCAAAATTAAACTTCTCTAGGCTGAAATTTAGCCTTAATTTATTCTTATTTTTTACCCTTCAGTCTGGGAAGAAAGTATATAGTTATACAGGATATCCAGTGCTCTCTGATTTTGTAAGGGCTGAAGCAAAGTGAGAAATTACCAAGATGTGTCTTTGGGTAAAAAAATGTCAGAGATTGTGGTTAAGGAAACATTTGGCCACATACTTCTTTTTGAGAGAGAAAATGCTTCAGGGGAAAAAAAGATGGTTAAAGGTACTTACAGAAATAATGTTGTATTCAAGTGTATGTAATGTTGTATTCACTTATTGTTTAGTGATTTGAACATCAGGTTTGAAATATTTAATCTCTCTAGAGAGGACAATGCAGATGTTAAAATAAGGGGAATTTAGGATTTTTGTTTTCAGTGTATTTCCGTTCAGATGATTGACCTTAGAGCCCTCCTAGACTCCACCAGCGGGTAACATTCTCTCTTACCTTCCATCTCAGACCCCATTGCCAGTCCATGAGGCTCCAACTGTGTCAATGTTTAAGTGCTTTGGGTCAGAACCTGGTGAATAAATGGGAACTATTGGCGCAGTTAGCTTGTTTCACCAGGCCACAAACGTATGGAAGTGTTCCAGGAGGATGGCTGTGTGTAATCAGTGAGTGGTAACGGTTGCTGATTAACTAGGATGGTATTAACAGAAATGCAGATAGTGCCAAGTTGTTTAATGACAACTAACCAAGTGTTAAATAGATGTGGAATTTTAAGTTCTGATCTTTCAGTACTTAAATTGCTAAATGAAGATTAAGGAAGTGTATTTTTTTATTAGTTCTCAGGATGCTGTGATCAAGAGTGGGAAGAATCCGTAGGTCAGCCTGAAGGCTAGGATTTTTCCTAAGGTGTCTATCCAGCTAATGGCACTGGAATTTTATATTTCCAACTGCAGTTTTCTCTGTAAGCCTACAGAGCTCTGGAATAGCTTAGAAACTAAGAGGGAAAATAGAAAAAGAAATAAATGCAGCATTATGGTGCTATTCAGCCTTGGAAAAGGGATGTTGCAATAATGAGATTTTTAGTTTCTAGATTGACTTTCTCTTTTTAATGTGGAGATAACACTGAGAGTCTGCTAATAAAGTGACTTTTTTTTTCTTTCTGATTTCCCTGTAGTCTTTTGCCAACTGATCATTTTTTTCCCCGATCAGTTTACTATTGTGCACAATAAAGTTTCAAATGCAGTGGCCATAGCTTTACCTGTGCAGCCCATTGCCTTTTTTATGTACCTCACTCATGCCCATGACAGGCTATACAAGAATGTCTTGGCCTGCACAATTTCTGCTGTAGCTGGTGGTGCAATAGACCATATCAGACAGTCAGAACTGAAGGTGAGTTTGTGGACTGACTGCATAAAAAGAATATGGTCTTTGGATGCAGTGTTGTATATCAGTGCTTAAGGGCCTTGTTGCTTTTTGTAACCTGCTGTTCTTTTTTATGCTTTCATATCTCACATAGTATTTCTCTAATTGTGTTACATTTGAAAAGCAGCCTGTTTTTTTGCCTGAGCTGCTTTGTGATTTTCCTACCTCAGGTCATCCAGATGGTTGCATAGTTCCTTGATGTTCTTTAGCACATCATCTTTAGGACGCATTGGCATGTACTGTCTTTCTTGATCAAAATATCAGCTTTTTTGGATAGTCATCAGCTTCATTCAGATTTCTACAGTTCACTTCAGGTTCCCCTGACATCCATATACATGCAGCATCCTGACATCTTCAAATCTGATCAGATCTGAACCACCAGCTAAGCCCTTGACACTTACCAGCTTCCACACACAACAAATTTTTAAGCACGGCAGCAAAGAGCCTCTGCACTGACAACTGCAGTTGTCTGGGTTTGAAATCATCTCCCACACAACTGGGTAGAGACCAACAACTGCCTGGCTGTGATGTGACACAGTGTATGTTGATGGGAAATTCCTGCAGCATGGGGGAGTTACTGAGATTATCATCATGCATTAGCCATGTCTGTGCTCACTGTCCTCAGGTCTCAGGGTGGTCAGGGTGCTCAGCAATCTGAAGACATTCAAAAGGAAACTCACATGTCGTGTAGGAGTAATATGGAGAGCACACAAAAGATGTTTCTTAACAAGTTTTGTCCCATTTGCCGTCTTCTTAGCTTTCTTTGATCTACTCTTAAATAAGTACAAGTTACCAGCAGACAGTTTCCATTCTAGGCCTGCTTGTAAATATGCATACTGGTACCCTGTAAAACTGCTAAGCAGCCCTTTAGGATCTTACAGCCCTATACTTCTGTTACATGTGCCCATTTCCCTGAGGCAAGATTCAGTTGTTGAGGGTTTTTTCCAAGCATTAATTCCTTTTGCTGCAGTTACAATGGATGAAAAAGGAGATTTTGAAGATCCATTTTTCAGAGGAGAAAATCTGTCATTTTAAGTTTATGCCCTTGCCTAACTAAAGCTCCTTTCATTTTTGTGGTGTTCTGTATTTTCGCCACGCATTGCAGCAACATGTTACCTCACAGTTATGCTACACTTCTGAACATATGGACAAATGTAAAACCAGCAAAGAATGTAGCATTTCTGGGAACAAATACCTACAGAAAGTATTTTTGTCCCAATAATTTCCCAAATTTATGCAGCATGTAGATATATCTTAATCTTGATTTAAAGTGTTCCTATAACCAGAAAAAGCAATTTGCCAATTTCTGACATTATCATTTTTCTCTACAGTTAATTTTCTTTAGCTGCATGTATGTTTTCTGACATCCTAATAGCCTCAGCAGTGAAATCTCAGGAAGGAATAAAGTTTTTCTTTTCAGGAGATATTTTCGCTGGTTTTGGGTATGTAGAAAAGAGTGCCATAGCTTTTATGGCAGTGTAAATATTCAGTGGAGAGACTATGTTGTTTGCTGAAGTCAGTACAGGAAAGTTCAGGCTGCATCCTGCTTTTTCGTCCTCCAGTCCACTCACTGGGCAACAAATACCATGACTTTAGAGAGCTCCCTGTTCCTGTGGAGTTGTGTTGCTGACACCAGGGACGTTCATCTTCTCTGGGCTGCTTCTCTTCTACGTGCTGCACTTCAGCTCTGTGTGTTCCCTCCCACAAATGTGATGTTCAGAGCAAAGCTGGCCGGCTTGGCAGCTGGCACTGCAGCTCTGTGGCTCTGGGTGACACAGTGCCTTCACACAATTAACTTAATGCATTCAGAGAACCTCCAGAACTCCTAACTTGGAAGTACTCCCAAGGGAGACTTTTTTTTAATCTCTTTAGAAGTCACAGGAATAGAAGTGAATACAAAGTATTTGGTGATTTTTTTTTCTTATGTCTAAAATATAGCCCCTATAAAATGAAGTCATTTTTGCAAGCCCCTTCTGACTCCCTCTTAGTTTTTCCTTAGGGCCCCATTCTCGTTCACATTGGCACCAGTGCAAAGTTGCCACAATGTAAATGAGGACCAGGCCCTTTATGTCAACATTACAGTTTAAATCTAGACCAGTGTGAGCATCTCCCATTAGGAGAGGATAAATACCTGCTATAAATTGGAATTCAAAGGGTGAAGCATTGTACTGCGTCACTGTGTTGTGTTAATGCAACAGAGATCAGTCTTGTTAAAATGAAGCAATGGCAAAAAGGAAGTCAGATTAGATTCAGTTCTTTTTGGACTATTTAAATGGGCATAGGAATTAATTTCAAGCTTTTTCTTCTCAATAACTAACCAGACAAGAGTCTACCTGGCCTGAAACAGTGAATCAATTTCATTAGCAGAAACAGTCATGTGGAAATTTGAGATTAATGTTTAATACCTACATCCCTATGTCCCTTGTCCTTCCATCTTGTTCAGCAGAGTCCATAACCCCGCAGCTCTGTGATTAGAGTTGTGGAAGCATTTATGAGGTGTTGCTTCACAAACTAGAGCAGCACCCTCACTCAAATGTGCAGGTGATACTGTGAAGGAGGTTCAAAAGCACATCACCTCTAGAGTATGCAGTTACTTGTGAAAGACATGGCAAAGCCTGCCTTGTAAAAAGACAGAAGGAAGTCTGTGTAGTTTGTGGGTTGTTTTTCTTCTGTTTTTAGGAGGGCAGCAAACTGAACACACGTAAAAAAACCATGTAAAGCAAATCTATATTCTAACAGCAGGATGTCTTTTCTCTTTTCTCCCTCTGAGGTGATTCACTGGAACTCACCAAAGAAGCTGCGAGTGAAAAACAAGCATGTGGAGTTTTTCCGCAACCTCTACCTGACATTCCTGGAATATGATGGGAATTTGCTGAGACGGGAACTCTTTGGCTGCCCCAGTGAGGCAGACATTAACAGTGAAAATGTAAGTAGGGTATCTAGGGCTTGACTGTTTAAAGGGTGTTTCAAACAAGGCACAAGCTGTGTGAAGGCTTGGAGTTTGTGTTGTGCGTATTGCAGGACGGAGGAACTCAGGAGAACTGAAGGCAGTGCTCATATTCCAGGAGTGACACTGTGCAAATCATTTAATCTCTATGTGCCTCAGTTTCTCCCCTGTGAAACTGTTGTACTAATCTCATCTTTACCCTGGGTTTTGATGCTTCTTTTGGTCTACTTTGCCCTTTAAAAATCTCCAACAAAGGTAACATCACAAGCTGAAAATGAGTGTTTGAGCTCTTATTCCATTAGGCAATTCTGCAGATCTTACACTTAGACCTCGTCCTGGTTTCAGCTGTGGTAGAGTTCATTTTTTATCTTAGCAGCTGATATGGTGATTCAGTGGGACAAACCTAAAACTTTCGAGGAGAAGGTCTTGTTTCTTGCTGTGTATTTGTTCAGTATACAGTGATGTCAGTTTTGGGTAGTAGATATTAATGCACAAATAATGAAGAAGAAATGAACATACCAAGACTGCTGGATTTAGGTCTGTGAGTTCTTGCCATGCTGCAGACTACAGAATGTGTGAATATTTCAAGGTACACACAGGCTCTGAGACTGCAGGTTTTTTCTATATTTCCCTTAACTAAACAAAGTGGTATTTATGTGTATCTGCATAAAATTTGCAATCAGAACCTTTCAGACAAAGCAAATCCTTTGAAAATGGCTGAAATCAAGGATGTTTAGACACATGTTGTGTGTGTATGCCTTAGTACATATAATTCCAAAGTAAAAAGCTGTTCACTGAAAAGTTTATACGCAGATGTATATGAACTCCTTGTGTATAATGTGGTCTCTGGAGATTTCTAGACCAAGTACCAATTTTGACTGCGTAGTCTGAAAGGGAATAAAAAGGAATCTGTAACATTTTATTCAGGAAAAAAATATTCCTAAAATATACAACATTGTCTATATATAAATCAATTAAGCAAAACCAGTATCATGTCCACATTAGCAGTTGAGGTAATTGACAATCAATATCATCATTGGGGCTGGTAGTGTTTCCATTTAGCCTGTGAATCAAATGACCACAGGAGATACCATTCCCATATTTTTAAATAGAGATTGGATAGATGTATTTTAGCCCAAGGCACAGCTTTCCAGATACATATTTTACCACACCACTGTCTTCTGAAAGAAGTGAGGCTTAAGTGGGAGAGACGAGAAGCAGGTGGAGAATGAGAGAGAGGGAAAGCAAGCACACCAAAAGAGCAAAAGCACATGGAGGAAGAAAATCCTCTGCAAGAGTGAGTGGCTTTTAGACAATCAAGTGAACTGAATGAGATAAAAGACCATCAGAGCCATCAAGATACAATAGACAGAGTAGAGGGTAGAATAAGAGGAGAAAAGGTGAGTGAGACATTAAAAAAAGACAACAGAACAACACATACCTTCATCACACTTAAGAATGCAGGTTAAAATTATACTGAATTCACAATGTGTTTTGTGAGTTCGAAGAGTATGAATGCAGTCACAGATTTCTTGCTATATTTTCCAGAGCTCTGTAAATCCTTAATAAACAGATTTATTCCAGATGACAAGTTGCTGGGGAGCAGTGCACAGCAAATGCAAGTTCCTCCTGTAAATGGCAGTCCTTAAAGTTTTAAATGTCTCATTTAACTGAACTTGTATCTAGTTGACAGACACTGGAAATGACTAACTGTTTCTTATTCAAGACAAGTAGAACGCAATATGGTATATGGTATAGCTTGTGTCTGAAAAAGAAATGTAACTCATTCCTCCATTTATAAATTATAAAAAAAAAAGTTGAAAAGAATGAGCTAGACGTATAAAAATATATGAGTCCTAACTTGCCAAGAGACACTAAAAATTAATAGCCTTCTATCAAAACAATTGGATATAGAAAAAAAATCTAACTTCAGAAAGGTTAAGACTAGTCACTTAGGAGAAGACATTGGTTTTTATTAGTTCCCCTTGATGTAAGCTCCTGTTTAAACTTGATTATATCCTTTTTATTGTAGAATACAGACAGCAAGTTTCAGCATTGAAGTTATGGGACCCTTAGTATAGGATTATCATGAAAACTACTCTTTCTCTCACTCTGTCTGCCGTAGCATATACAGTGTCACAGGTGTGCTATTAAATACGGCACGTTCCCATGATCTATTGCAAGATAATCTTCAGAAGCAGAGCAAGGTGAGCAGGGAACCACTGTCATTCCTCCCAGTACAAGAAATAGGGGACATGAAGTGGAAATAGCAAGTAGCAGATTCAAAACAAAGATAGGCATTTCACGCACAATGTGATGAAGCTTTGAGCAGGAGGTAATGTTTCTAAAAGTATACGTATGCTCAAAAATGACTCTTCATGGAAAGAAAATCAGTCAGGAGCTGTTAGCTTTGGTGCAGAAAGTCCTTGAACCACAAGTTCAGGTCTAGGGAAGTGTTTTGAGAAAGCCTTGCTGTACACTTGCCATGGTTTTATGCTCCTCTCTAGGCAGCCAGCTCACAACTGGACACAAGGTGCTTGGCTGGATGAACTTTTAGTCTGACAAGATGTAGCCATACATTTCTGTTAGGATTCATAAAGCATGTATGTTACGTAAAAAGCTATAATTTCTATTAATTCAGGTACATATGAGGTAGGAATTGCTGTTTGCATTATTTTTTTTTCCCTATTATTTTTCCTTTCTTCTCTGAATTGCGACTTGAGACTGGCATCCCCAAAACACAGCCGTGCTTTATGATGTTAGGCAGTGAACATAGGTGAAAGTTGCTCCTTCAGATGCCTTTGCTTCTCTGCCAGTGCCTGTGATTCTTCTGACCAGTGGACAAAATGTTAGAACAGTTCTACTGGCTTTATAATTGGAGAGAATTATTTTAGCACTAAATGCACTGAGCCCTATTGTGGAAGAAGCAGTGGCTTGGTGTGAGTCTCACTCACAGTCTGGCTGCATCAGAAGCTACCTTTAAGGTCTTGTTCCAATATACCACCCAATGCTTCTCTACAGTTTAATATTTGCAGTGATGTTTTGTTTAAAATTCAACCTGTAATTAAGACATCTCATTTGTAGTGCAAATATCTGTAAAACATGAAAAGGAAGTGTGGCAGTGGGTACTGCTGGGCTGATTCTGTTTCTCTGAGGCTCCTTTACACTTCTCATCAGTACTGAGATGGCCTTAAAATGAATGTAAATTATGTGTCTTCCCTTTTTAAGGACTCTTTACAGTGCTAGAGAGATATAAAGGGGCAGTAGTTTAAAAAGTAATTGGACCTCACTTTAATCTCTGTCTTCCTCTGTGTATGCATGTGAATGCGTGTATGCTTAAATATATACTTTGTCTATATGCATGTGGAGGTATTGGTACTTTTTTTTTCTAATATTTGCTAAAAAAGTATAATACCACAGAGTGAATTTCAAGAGGTCTGAAGGCAGTCTTTGGGTATTGTGCTGCACAGTCCTATTCTAGTCAGATGTTGATCTTCAGCTGCACCAAGCAGGACTGTTATTAGGTTCCAAAGCATTGCAAATGGGAATGAATAGAACAAATAGGGCTCTGAAACTGAAATATTGAAGGCAAAAAAATACAGACTGAGGTAGTTTCTCTGTTTATGTAAAAATGTTTATATATATGTCTATGTTTACATGCATGCTTCATCCTTTCCTTGAAATATTCAAGCTAAAAGACCCTATGGGTTGCAGGGACAGGCTGTGAGCAGGAGCCTGCCATGTGCTCCTTACCATGGAGCAGTAGTGTAAGTCCCTGTTATTCAATATATGCTAAAATGAGATTACACAGAGCAGACTCTTCTGCACAAGTTGGTATTACAATCATCCCTTTGTCTTTTGTGCAGATTCTGGGTGGAAAATTCAGAATATGAACCAAATCCTCCTGTAAACACGATCATTGACTCAAGAGGCCCTTGGAGCATGTCCTTAGTCACTCCATCCTACTTATTCCATGCTGTTGCCCCATTCTCACTTCTTCTTTCTTATTTTAATGCAATACAGAAGATTTTTGGGAAATCCACAAAGACAAAGCTTACAATAATCTCAAATTTGAACATTTTTCTATTGGCTTTTAGTGCTTATATCCAGCATTTTATTCTAAAGGATATACTGCAAAGCCTAAAATATTTCAACAGGATCTTCCAGCCTATCTCTATAGTTACACTCTGAGATAGATATCATAAGCCTGATTTTAGCACAGAGGCACACACTCAACCTTTTAGCATTCTCATAAAACTTCTTTCCTGCAGACAGCTTCTCACCAGGTACTTCTGCCAAAGCATTAAATCTGAAGGTTGAATGGGGTGTCCCCTGTTAGTGAAGCCTGTGTCCTGATCCAAAGCCCAGAGCAAGATAAGTGGGAAGTGTATCACTGATTTCACTTAGTTTAAGAAAAGGACAGTAAATTCCCATTAGAGAAGACTTTGACAAAACACATGAGAAAAAAAGCGCCTGCAGGTTTTTCTTTTCAAATTTTCAAATCAACAATACAAAGAAACAGTGTAAAAAAATCAAGTCGTCCCTGAACACGCTTGCTTACATGTGTACTTACTTTCTAAATATGTTTTTACTTAGTTACTTTTTTTCCTGCAAAACCAGAGATTCTTAATATTAGCAAAAGGCTGTGCATGCCAACTTAGAGTGTCCACCAGAACAGCTGGAGATTCCAGCAATGTACCACAGAGTATAAACTCTACTAACAAATTTAGCAATTTTTTCAATGACCAAAAATAGCATGCAAAGGGAGCTTTCAAGTCAGTAGCACAGCTTTGAACTTGCAGACTGATGCTTTGAGTACCCTTTGCTCCTGTTGAATTTCTGAATACTGCCTCATTTGTAGAATTTAAAGTTGCTATTTTGTGATGCCATAGTCTTTCTCTAGTAAAACAGATGGGATATGGCAGTTTTGAGGTGAAATCCTGACTTCCCCAGGTGTGTTGTTTCTATTATTATGACTG